ATAGGATTATATTTCTTAAATAACACTGGACATTATGCAAACAACAATTAATATCATCGACAACCCATCATTTTGAGAAGGCAGCTAATCAAACTCATACATGTACATGGACAGTCAAGAAGAAATTAGTATAACCTAGCAACATATGGATGTAGGGGATACAATATTATAGCACCATTTTCTAAGCTTAAAAAAGTTCTATAAATTTACTTAGTTGGTGTGACCACAAACTATAGTACTTCAAATCAAATTTCAAAATGTTTAACCTATCATTAAACAAAGCTTTAACCTATTACATTGCATGTACAGTGTGATTTTATGTGAGTTCTGGTTTAACTGAGGATATCCTTAATTTAATCTCATATATTGGAGGTGAAAAATACATACATAATACAGGATATATGTTAAGTTAATCATGAAATCTAGGATTATAAAATTATAATATAAGATGCTGTTGACAATACCTCAGTATTGTATCAAAATGAGGTAACTTAAACCATATTTCATTATGGTATCAAAATGGGCAATTTAAACCATACCTCAATATGGTATAAAAATGAGTTAATATAAAGCATGTCAGTATGGTATCAAAATGAAGTACTTAGATCATACTTCTTTATAGTGTCAAAATGAGGTACTACAACCATACATCAGTATGGCATCAAAAATGAGGTAGTTAAACAATACATTAGAATTGTTTAAAATAATGTATTGTTTAAAAAATGAGGTCATTTAAACCGTACATCAGTATAATGTCAAAATGTATCAAAAATGAGGTACTTAGACCATACATCAGTATTGTACCAAAATGAGGTAAATCTAAACCATATGTCAATATGATATCGAAATGAGGTACTTCGATCATACATCCTTATAGTGCCAAAATGAGGTAAATCTAAACCATATGTCAGTATGATATCGAAATGAGGTACAAAAAATGTACTTAGATCATACGTCCTTATAGTGTCAAAATGAGGTAAATCTAAACCATATGTCAGTATGATATCGAAATGAGGTACAAAAAATGTACTTAGATCATACGTCCTTATAGTGTCAAAATGAGGTAATCTAAACCATATGTCAGTATGATATCGAAATGAGGTACAAAAAATGTACTTAGATCATACGTCCTTATAGTGCCAAAATGAGGTAAATCTAAACCATATGTCAGTATGATATCGAAATGAGGTACAAAAAATGTACTTAGATCATACGTCCTTATAGTGTCAAAATGAGGTACTTAAACCATATGTCCTTATAGTGTCAAAATGAGGTACTTAAACCATATGTCCTTATAGTGTCAAAATGAGGTACTTAGATCATATGTCCTTATAGTGTCAAAATGAGGTACTTAGACCATACATCAGTATTGTATCAGAAATGACGTAATTTACACCATACTTTAGCATAAAAAGGAGGTACTAACACCATACATCAGTATGGTGTCAAAATGAGGTGTTTAATAATACTTTAGTATGGTATTAAAAAAAAAGGTACTTAATAAGATTATACATCAGTATGGTATCAAAAGAGGTAATTGACATATGGTTTCAAAAATGAGGTACTAAGACATAAGATCACAAGGTAATTTAGATCATATGTTATATGTTAGTATGGTGTCAAAATGAGGTACTTAGAACGTATGGTATCAAAATGAGCACTAAGACCATAAAAAATTGAGGTAAAAGACTCATACAAAAAGCTAAAGAAATAAAATTCCTAAGCCAGTATCATAATAATGACAAACAATTAATAAAAATAAAAAATAAAACAACAAGTATAGAATATCAACATCAAGCTATGCTACAACAAATAAAACACTTAAATACCAAAATTTCATGGCACTGACAGAATGGAGAGTGGTGGGGAGTTGGTGACAAAAGCTGACCAAAAAAAATAGAAGTAAATGTGTGACTTGCAAACACTTGTCATACACAAAGCTCTTGTGAAGTAATGACATAGCAAAATTAGATTAGAATGGAATGTACATTGTGATGTTATTGACTGTGTGTGAAAAAATTTACACTTATCCAATAGTGATCTATAACAAAGTTCATTATAAACTCCAATTATAATACATAATTTTAATAAAAACCATAATTTGGCATCTGTAACAATTCACTTCAAAATGAGGATGTGACCAAAAACTAACCTTAAACCTGATGGATGAATTAACACACAGAAGCACAGACTGAAAAACATATTCCCCTCTACTATGGTAGGCAGGGCATAAAATACTCTACTCTTGTTTTTGACATTTTGTTAGATATTCAGAATCCTCTAATTTTATCAATGTGGTGCCAATAAAAATTTTGAATGCTAACACCTACTTTTCTTTTCATAGTTTTGTTACATCTAGTTTAAAAAGCCATTTTTAAATCTTTTAAAATCCTTGTTAATTTTTCATAGTTTTTGAAAGAAAAAAGGTGCCAATGTTAAAGTCTGCCAGGTGAGCTAATAAGTCTACGCATTTATCATATATGAAGATCCATCAGGGGGCAGGGGCTGGGACTCCTGTCCCCAAAATCCGCCTCTGTTAGTTGCTTTTTCTGAACTAAATTAATACAATATAGAAACAGAACTGGAAAAACTATAAAAAGTAAGTTGTAAAATTAACTTGTTCTTCATCAAATATATGTGACAAGTCTATATTGGTAAGAAATACCTGTATTTTACAATTCGTCACTATGCTGATGTATATTTATCAATGAACTTTGATCGGCATTGGTTATCACATGGTAATAAAAGTTAATAGCTTGTTCATAATTCTTTTTTGATATTCTCTCATTGATACCATGGAAACGTTTTTCATCACCAAGAAACATAACTGTTGGACAGAATCTGTAGATATTTTTAGTAAACATTGCATAATGTCTAGTATCGGTATTACCCATCAACAATCCTGTAAATATAAGATAGTATTATATAACATAACTACTTCAATTTTTTTTTTCAATAGTTTTATTATTTATGCATGTTTTATGTTTAATTATTTCAAAAAACAACAATCTAATTTTGCTTCAAAAGAGTACATAAATGTTATAATTGTAGAAAAATAATAAAACCATTAGAATTTCAGTATATTTCAGAACAATTTAGACACAAATATGCAGAAATAAATGGGGATGATTCCCCCGCTTGCATATCATATAAATTTATAAAGGGACATAACTGAAGAACTGTAAAAGTGATGCTACCAAAATTTGTACTTGATCTGAGTTTTGTGGTAACTAGTATTAAGTATAAGTTTCATAACATTGGGTTGAGGCAAACTTAAGTTAGAGAACGGAAACGAAAAATGTAAAGGGGCATAACTCTAGAACAGTTAAAGTGACACCACCAAAATTCAAACTTGATCTGTATTTTGTGGTAATAAGCATTGTGTATAAGTTTCATAACATTTGGTTGAGGCAAACTAAAGTTAGAGAACGGAAACGAAACATTCAGCAATTTTTCCATTTGTAAAGGGGCATAACTCTAGAACAGTTGAAGTGACGCCACCAAAATTCATACTTGATCTGTGTTTTGTGGTAATAAGCATCATGTGTAAGTTTCATAACATTTGGTTGAGACAAACTAAAGTTAGAGAACAGAAATGAAAAATTTGTAAACGGGCACAACTCTAGAACGGTTAAAATGACACCACCAAAATTCAAACTTGATTTGTGTTTTGTGGCAATAAGCATTTTGTATAAGTTTCATAACATTTGGTTGAGGCAAACTAAAGTTAGAGAACGGAAACCAACTTTGGGACGTACTGATGGACAACATAGACAAGTGTAAAAATTAATGCCCCCTCCACTAAAGTTAGAGAAAGGAAACCAAAAATTCAGCAATTTTTCCATTTGTAAAGGAGCATAACTCTAGAACGATTAAAGTGACGCCACCAAAATTCAAACTTGATCTGTGTTTTGTGGTAATAAGCATCATGTGTAAGTTTCATAATATTTAGTTGACGCAAACTAAAGTTAGAAAACGGAAACGAAAAATTCAGCAATTTTTCCATTTGTAAAGGGGCATAACTCTAGAATGGTTAAAGTGATGCCACCAAAATTCAAACTTGATCTGTGTTTTGTGGTAATAAGCATTTTGTATAAGTTCCATAACTTTGGGACATACATACCTACGTACGTACGGACGGACAAGGGTAAAACTTAATGCCCCCTCCACTACAGCGGGGGATAAAATAGAATAAAGCAATTGCAAAACAAACCCAGTGATAATTCTAATCAGAAGGACACATTTGAGGAAAAGAGGATGGAATTATGATTACAACAATTGGAACATATCCACTTTTGAGCATTCTAGAAAAGCGCTTCGAACGCATGAAATTTATAACATGTTGTGTTTTATTTTTTACAGCACTGGGTTGATACCTCTGCTGGTGTACTATCAGTCTTTCTAAAATTGCCCGTTTATAAATTTTGAACTTGTAAAGAAACTAAGGTTTCAACTCCCTCAGGCAAAGTTGACCTTAGATGGATTTGGCTATTTTTTTTAGGTCCTTTTTAGTCATATAGCTCTTCAACTGTTTCAGTTCTTATACATTATTGGCTTTCAAATATTAGGGTTTGAACTATCAGTCCCTGAGGGTATTATCAGCTCAGTAGTCAGTACTTCGGTACTGACACGATTTATAACAAGCCTTTCAAAAATTGCCTGCTTATAAATTTTGAAATTGTAAAGAAACTAAGGTTTCAACTCCCTCAGGCAAGGTTGACTGACCTAAGACAGATTTGGCTATTTTTTTAGATCCTTTTTTGTCATATAGCTCTTTAACTGTTTCGGTTCTAATACATTGTTGGCTTTCAAATATTCAGCTTGGAGCGTTCCTGGTGAGTTAGTCTTTAAGTTTATGTACTGTCTATAGATTTATACAGGTAGATTGACCCTATGTTTATGTACTATCTATAGAATTATACAGGTAGTTTGTCCCTATGTTTATGTACTGTCTATAGATTTATACAGGTAGTTTGTCCCTATATTTATGTACTGTCTATAGATTTATACAGGTAGTTTGTCCCTATGTTTATGTACTGTCTATAGATTTATACAGGTAGTTTGTCCATATGTTTATGTACTGTCTATAAATTTATACAGGTAGTTTGTCCCAATGTTTATGTACTGTCTATAGATTTATACAGGTAGTGTGTCCCTATGTTTATGTACTGTCTATAGATTTATACAGGGTAGTTTGTCCCTATGTTTATTTACTGTCTATAGATTCATACAGGTAGTTAGTCTTTAAGTTTATATATTGTCTTTAGATTTATACAGGTAGTTTGTCCCTATGTTTATTTACTGTCTATAGATTTATACAGGTAGTTAGTCTTTAAGTTTATGTATTGTCAGTAGATTTATACAGGTAGTTTGTCCCTATGTTTATTTACTGTCTATAGATTCATACAGATAGTTAGTCTTTAAGTTTATGTATTATCTGTAGATTTATACAGGTAGTTTGTCCCTATGTTTATGTACTGGCTATAGATTTATACAGGTAGTTTGTCCCTATGTTTATGTACTGTCTATAGATTTATACAGGTAGTTTGTCCCTATGTTTATATACTGTCTATAGATTTATACAGGTAGTTTGTCCCTATGTTTATATACTGTCTATAGATTTATACAGGTAGTTAGTCTTTTAGTTTATGTACTGTCTATAGATTTATACAGGTAGTTTGTCCCTATGTTTATATACTGTCTATAGATTTAAACAGGTAGTTTGTCCCTATGTTTATGTACTGTCTATAGATTTATACAGGGTAGTTTGTCCCTATGTTTATGTACTGTCTATAGATTTATACAGGTAGTTAGTCTTTTAGTTTATGTAATGTCTATAAATTTATACAGGTAGTTTGTCCCTATGTTTATGTACTGTCTTTAGATTCATACAGGTACTTTGTCCCTATGTTTATGTACTGTCTATAGATTTATACAGGTAGTTTGTCCCTATGTTTATGTACTGTCTATAGATTTATACAGGTAGTTTGTCCCTATGTTTATATACTGTCTATAGATTTATACAGGTAGTTTGTTCCTATGTTTATATACTGTCTATAGATTTATACAGGTAGTTTGTTCCTATGTTTATATACTGTCTATAGATTTATACAGGTAGTTTGTCCCTATGTTTATGTACTGTCTATAGATTTATACAGGTAGTTTGTCCCTATGTGTATGTACTGTCTATAGATTTATACAGGTAGTTTGTCCCTATGTTTATATACTGTCTATAGATTTATACAGGTAGTTAGTCTTTTAGTTTATGTACTGTCTATAGATTTATACAGGTAGTTTGTCCCTATGTTTATTTACTGTCTATAGATTTATACAGGTAGTTAGTCTTTACGTTTATGTATTGTCTGTAGATTTATACAGGTAGTTTGTCCCTATGTTTATTTACTGTCTATAGATTCATACAGGTAGTTAGTCTTTTAAGTTTAAGTATTGTCTGTAGATTTATACAGGTAGTTTGTCCCTATGTTTATTTACTGTCTATAGATTCATACAGGTAGTTAGTCTTTAAGTTTATATATTGTCTTTAGATTTATACAGGGTAGTTTGTCCCTATGTTTATTTACTGTCTATAGATTCATACAGGTAGTTAGTCTTTAAGTTTATATATTGTCTTTAGATTTATACAGGGTAGTTTGTCCCTATGTTTATTTACTGTCTATAGATTCATACAGGTAGTTAGTCTTTAAGTTTATATATTGTCTTTAGATTTATACAGGGTAGTTTGTCCCTATGTTTATTTACTGTCTATAGATTTATACAGGTAGTTAGTCTTTAAGTTTATGTATTGTCTGTAGATTTATACAGGTAGTTTGTCCCTATGTTTATTTACTGTCTATAGATTCATACAGATAGTTAGTCTTTAAGTTTATGTATTATTTGTAGATTTATACAGGTAGTTTGTCTCTATGTTTATGTACTGGCTATAGATTTATACAGGTAGTTTGTCCCTATGTTTATGTACTGTCTATAGATTTATACAGGGTAGTTTGTCCCTATGTTTATGTACTGTCTATAGATTTATACAGGTAGTGTGTCCCTATGTTTATATACTGTCTATAGATTTATACAGGTAGTTTGTTCCTATGTTTATATACTGTCTATAGATTTATACAGGTAGTTTGTCCCTATGTTTATGTACTGTCTGTAGATTCATACAGGTAGTTTGTCCCTATGTTGATGTACTGTCTATAGATTTATACAGGTTGTTTGTCCCTTTGTTTATATACTGTCTATAGATTTATACAGGTAGTTTGTCCCTATGTTTATGTACTGTCTATAAATTTATACAGGTAGTTTGTCCCTGTGTTTATGTACTGTCTATAGATTTATACAGGTAGTTTGTCCCTATGTTTATGTACTGTCTATAGAATTATACACATAGTTAGTCTTTAAGTTTATGAATGGTCTATAGATTTATACAGGTAGTTTGTCCCTATGTGTATGTACTGTCTATAGATTTATACAGGTAGTGTGTCCCTATGTTTATGTACTGTCTATAGATTCATACAGGTACTTTGTCCCTATGTTTATGTACTGTCTATAGATTTATACAGGTAGTTTGTCCCTATGTTTATGTACTGTCTATAGATTTATACAGGTAGTTTGTCCCTATGTTTATATACTGTCTATAGATTTGAACAGGTAGTTAGTCTTTAAGTTTATGTACTGTCTTTAGATTTATACAGGTAGTTTGTCCCTATGTTTATTTACTGTCTATAGATTTATACAGGTAGTTAGTCTTTACGTTTATGTATTGTCTGTAGATTTATACAGGTAGTTTGTCCCTACGTTTATTTACTGTCTATAAATTCATACAGGTAGTTAGTCTTTTAAGTTTATGTATTGTCTGTAGATTTATACAGGTAGTTTGTCCCTATGTTTATTTACTGTCTATAGATTCATACAGGTAGTTAGTCTTTAAGTTTATATATTGTCTTTATATTTATACAGGTAGTTTGTCCCTATGTTTATTTACTGTCTATAGATTTATACAGGTAGTTAGTCTTTAAGTTTATGTATTGTCTGTAGATTTATACAGGTAGTTTATCCCTATGTTTATTTACTGTCTATAGATTCATACAGGTAGTTAGTCTTTAAGTTAATGTAATATCTGTAGATTTCTACAGGTAGTTTGTCTCTATGTTTATGTACTGGCTATAGATTTATACAGGTAGTTAGTCTTTATGTTTATGTACTGTCTATAGATTTATACAGGTAGTTTGTCCCTATGTTTATATACTGTCTATAGATTTATACAGATTGTTTGTCCCTATGTTTATATATTGTCTATAGATTTATACAGGTAGTTTGTTCCTATGTTTATGTACTGTCTATAGATTCATACAGGTAGTTAGTCTTTAAGTTTATGTACTGTCTATAGATTTATACAGGTAGTTAGTTTTTATGTTTATGAACTGTCTATAGATTTATACAGGTAGTTAGTCCCTATGTTTATGTATTGTTTTAGATTTATACAGGTAGTTTGTCCCTGTGTTTATGTATTGTCTATAGATTTATACAGGTAGTTTGTCCCTATGTTTATGTATTGTCTATAGATTTATACAGGTAGTTTGTCCCTATGTTTATTTACTGTCTATAGATTCATACAGGCAGTTAGTCTTTAAGTTTTTGTATTGTCTATAAATTTATACTATTAGTTAGTCTTTAAGCTTATGTATTGTCTATAGATTTAAACAGGTAGTTAGTTTTTATGTTTATGAACTGTCTATAGATTTATACAGGTAGTTTGTCCCTTTGTTTATCTGCTGTCTATATGTGCAGTCTATGGGTTTACAATTAATCACTGTCATGTGAAGTCTGTAAGTTTCTTGACATATTCTTGAACTAGACAACTGTCATTACAGCACCAGAATCTTTGACAAACAAGACGATTCCAGTTTTGAAAGTATAATTTTCCTCACCTTAGCAGCAATATACCAACTTCCCCCATGTATAGAGTATACATTTCTCAACTCAGACAATATTCAAGAGCTTGCAGCTGCTACTCAGATGTTGTAAAATGTCATCAGTGTCTGAGCAGAAATTTGAAGAGTGAAGGATACTCAGAGAAATTCTTGTAATTTTTCTAAAAAAAGTTCATCAGAAAGTATGAAGACCTTATAGATAAATATTCAGTGTCTACTTCACAAATCATACAAGATGGTCTTGTTTATCTTGCTATAAAACCAGGTTTAACCCACAATTTTTTTTTTAAATGCCTGTACCAAGTCAGGAATATGCCAATTGTTTTTCATTAGTCTGTTGGTTGATATAGTCTTAATGTTTGATTTTGTCAGTTTTTATGAACTGTAACCCTTTTAAATTTACCTTGGAGTTATGTATTTTTGATAATACTTTTTAAATATTCATCACTGTTTATGTGCAGTTGTAAAGCAAAATAGTGTTCTATGAAATGTCTCACAAGACAATATTTCATGATAATGTTTATTGATATTTTGTCCCGTAGAAAGTTTTGTATTATTGGGCAATATTTCATATATTGATAGTAATGAAATTTTGTCTAATGAAAGGGAGGTTATCCAAAATTACATTTTGTGTATATTGAGACAATATTTCATGGATTGAGTGTCCTGAAATTTTGTCTTATGAAAGGAAGGTAATCAAAAATAATATTTTGGACGATATCTTTTTTTTACTTTATTGAGAATAGAAAACATATAGTATAAGTGATTGTCAATACTTTACTTATACCTAAACAGTACAATATGGTAAAATAAACATGACTTTAATCATTAAATGCAAATTTGATAAGCTTATGATAAAATATATATTTGTTTTTTATATAAAATAGTTGGCTAACAAAATTTTTTCACTTATATATATAAAAATGTGCATGCTTCATGCATGTGTACTACTATAAATGAGAATTATTGGATGCGGCGTCAAGTTATACACATACATTTGAACTTTTGAAGAAAAATATTCCAAAGATTTCAGAAACACTCTCACAATTTCATGGTGTTCAATTTCCCAGGGAAGACATACTTTGATTAGAAAATATTGTCACGGATAGTAATTCACAGTGAAATATTGTCCCAAAAGAACCTGACAAAATTATTAAATTTTGTCCGGCAGACAATATTTCACAGGGGAAATTATTCAATGTTACAATCTATTGAATAAGAATTAATTACTGTTTATGTGCAGTCTATGGGTTTCCTAATCATAACTGTTAATGTGCAGTCTATGGATTTACAATTAATCTCTGTTTATATGCAATATATAGGTTTACAATAATCAGTGTTTATAGGCAATCTATCAATGGGATTACAATAAGCACTGTTTATAGGCAATCTATCAATGGGTTTACAATAAGCACTGTTTATAGGCAATCTATCAATGGGTTTACAATAATCAGTGATTATAGACAATCTATCAATGGGTTTACAATAATATCAATGGGTTTACAATAATCAGTGTTAATAGGAAATCTATCAGTGGGTTTACAATATTCAGTGCTTATAGGCAATCTATCAATGGGTTTACAATAATCAGTGTTTATGTGCAATCTGTGGGTTTACAATAATCAGTGTTTATGTGCAATCTATCAATGGGTTTACAATAATCAGTGTTTATATGCAATCTGTGGGTTTACAATAAGCACTGTTTATGTGCAATCTATCAATGGGTTTACAATAATCAGTGTTTATGTGCAATCTGTGGGTTTACAATAATCAGTGTTTATGTGCAATCTATCAATGGGTTTACAATAATCAGTGTTTATGTGCAATCTGTGGGTTTACAATATTCACTGTTTATGTGCAATCGGTGGGTTTACAATAAGCACTGTTTATGTGCAATCTATCAATGGGTTTACAATAATCAGTGTTTATGTGCAATCTGTGGGTTTACAATAATCAGTGTTTATGTGCAATCTATCTATGGGTTTACAATAATCAGTGTTTATGTGCAATCTGTGGGTTTACAATAAGCACTGTTTATGTGCAATCTATCAATGGGTTTACAATAATTAGTGTTTATGTGCAATCTGCAGATTTACAATTAATCAGAGTTTATGTGGAGTCTAACGATTTACAATTGAATCACTGTTTATGTTTAGTCTAAGGATTTACCATTTATCACTATGTTTAAGTGGAGTCTAATAATTTATAATTGAATCACTGTTTATGTGTAGTCTATGATTTTTCAATTCATCACTATGTTTAAGTGCAGTCTAATGATTCACAATTCAATCAATGTTTATTTATACTATGGATTTTCAATTCATCACGTTGTTGAAGTGCAGTCTAATGATTCACAATTCAATCAATGTTTATGTGCAGTCTATGATTTTTCAATTCATCACTATATTTAAGTGCAGTCTAATGATTCACAATTCAATCAATGTTTATGTGCAGTCTATGGGTTTACAATTCATCACTATGTTTATGTGAAATGGACAAAGTACTCTTATCTGCATTAACAATTATATGATAGTAAAAGTTTATAGCTTGTTCATAATTATTTTTTGATATACGTTCATTTACACCATGAAAACGTTTCTCGTCACCAGGAAACATTACTGTTGGACTAAATCTATAGATATTTTTTGTAAAGTCTTTATAATGTATTGTGTCAGTATTGCCAATCATCATTCCTACAAAAAACAAATATGTCAAGTTGCAGAAATTTTCTATATTCAAGAAACTACAGAAAACAAGAATTTTACTTTCACCCGAGCTGAAACAGAGAAATCCACGACAATCTGAAAGATTTAGGATAGATAGAAAATGAGATACATGCATGTAGTAGATGAGGATCAAGGAAAAAGGGGCCACCAACAAGACAACTGCTACTTGTAAAAAGTCTAAATATTGACCATATATCTAGCTCCATAAAGGCCCCCATCCCCTAAATCTGCCTTTTTGCAGGGACAGCAACATTTCTTTATTTATTTATACATCTTCCACAGTCGAGCATCTCTTGTTAAGAGTCATTATAAGTGCTGCAAATTGCAAATAATTTTTAACATAACACTTTTGTGTAAAAATGGCTACTGATTTGATGCTGATGTGGTGCTTCTAAATCATGAATCTTGATTTATAACTGACTTATAACATAAGTGGCAAAAGTCTTGCTTTGACATTGACCTGGATGACTCTCACAATCACAATACCAACATGGATGACTCCGCCTATTACAACTAAATAAGTTATTCTTTGGTATATTTTCATTTTCTTTTGAGGTCCCTTTTAGTCATATAGCTCCTAAAGTATTCAGGTATTCATACATCCTTGGCTTTCAAAATTTTGACATTAGAATTTTCCTGACGAAGGTAAATCCAGAAATGTGCTTTGGACGCACAAAATTCATAAAGTGTTATTTTTATTACATAAGTCTTGCTATTGTTACATAATAAAGTGCCTGAAACTGTATCATATAAATATATGAATAATGCTGGAGAGTAACAAATGTTGTTTGATAAAATATCCACATAGAAACCAAGGTTTTAGCAGGAAATTCACAACAATTTTCTTGATGCTATGAAAGAAAGACAATCTAAGTGATGACTGGAACTGTGATGACAGATGCTGATCCAGGATTTTGAAAAAGGAAGGGCCCAATTAAGCCAATCAACTTTTGAAGTGGGACATGCTATAAGTCTATGCATTAACCATATAGTAGCTCCATAAGGGGGTCTGGGCCCCCTTCCCTAAATCTGCCTCTGGATAACATATATCACAAACTGATGCTTAGCCTGGTTGTAAAAATGTGTCCTGATTTGATACTAAATCATTCAAAACAGTCCAGAGATACTGACCTGCTGCCTAGGTGACCTAGTTCAGACTTGTCTGATTATGACTTTGTGCTGTGACAGAATTAGTCAAAATCTGTCTGATGACCTGTTGCTGACTTTGTCCTGTGAAGGTATTAGTACATATTTGTATAATACTGACCTGGTGCTGTTAAGGTATAAGTATATATTTGTATGATACTGACCTGGTGCTGTGGTGGCATTGGTCCAGATTTGTCTGATACTATTACTGATTATCTGGTAACCAAAATCATTTTCTCCAGAAGGAGAACCAGCTGCAGCTACCATAGAATCTTCAACTGATATTTGCACTCTGTCATCATTTATTACAGCTCTGTCATAATCCATTATCTAAGAAAAAACGAGTTTAAATCTCAGACATGATAATTGTCAGGTTTTAAAGTGAGTGTTCTATTATATTACCAGTATCTTAATCCATGCAAACACCTGTCAAAACTATACCTTTATAGATAAATCAATTTTTTTCCCAAAATGAATTATCTTATTTAAAATTCGTAAGGGTTCCGCGGAACCCAGTGTCTCGCCTATTTTTGCTGTTAATCGCAGGCTCAACAAAAATGAGGAAAAAAATTAATAAAAATATTCCTCTCTATACTATCTTTTGATTGTAAGTAGCTTCTGTCCTAGTTTGGTAAAAATCCAGGATAGTTTATGAATCTAATAAATGTTTTAAAAACTTAAACTGCAGACTGTATGTAATGTTAACTGGAAGAAAAACTAAGTCCATTTATAAGTAAAATACGGAAAAAATAGAACAAAATTTTTTACAAAATTTCCTTCTAGATACTAGCTTTTCATCATAAACAAGCTTCTGTTCAAGTTTGTTACAAATCCAGGATATTTTAAGAAAGTTGTTAAAATTTTAAAAACTTCAACCACAAGAGTGAATGTAATGTTAACTGGCAGAAAAACTGAGTCCATGTATAAGTAAAATACTGAAAAAATGGATTTTTTTTTTTTACAAAATTTCCTTTTGAATATTATCTTTTGATCATAAACAAGTTTCTGTCCAAGTTTGGTAGAAATCCAGGATAGTTTAAGAAAGTTATTAAAATTTCAATAAACAGCTGCGCCATGAGCGCATGATACGCTCGTCGACTTGTGTGTGAATTTTTATGCAATAAGCATAAATAGTTTCTGACATACGGCGTGACATGCGAAAACCCCCTTTTTTTTTTACAAAAAACTCAATATCTCTAAAATAAAATTTTGAACCAAAACCAAAAAGTATACAGATCTTGAGATTAATATAACTAAGAAGTGTGTAAAATTTTAAGCAATAATCATAAATCGTTTTTGAGATACGGCGCGACATGTGAAAAACCCCTCCCCCTTTTTTTACAAAATACTCAATAACTCAAAAATAAAATTTTGAATCATCACCAAAAAGTATACAGATCTTAAGATTAATATAACTAAAAAGTGTGTAAAGTTTTAAGCAATAATCATAAACTGTTTTTGAGATACGGAGCGACATGTGAAAAACCCTCCCCCTTTTTTAACAAAATACTCAATATCTCTAAAATAAAATTTTGAATCATCACCAAAAAGTATACAGATCTTAAGATTAATATAACTAAGAAGTGTGTAAAGTTTTAAGCAATAATCATAAACTGTTTTTGAGATACGGCGCGACATGTGAAAAAAAAACACACACCTGTTTTAGTTACTAAGTCCCGTAACTCAAAAAGTTTTAATCTTATTTTCACCAAAAAGTATACAGATCGTTTGACCATCATAAGAAACAACTATGTTAAGTTTCATGAAATTTGGATAAGTCATTCTCAAGTTACGGTGCGACATGTTTACGCCGGACAGACAGACGGACGGACGCCAGACATTTGTATAACATAATACGTCCCGTCAAAAATTTGACGGGCGTATAAAAACTTTAACCACAGAGTGAATATTTGTGGATGCCGCCTATGACGACGATGGAATGTAGGATCACTATGTCTCGCTTTTTCGACAAAAGTCGAAGGCGCGACAAAAATGCAATATAACATTTTAACAGTGTTCAAGTAAAATAAAGGCCAGAAAATTACTTTATTTCTGTTTCAGTGCTAGAAGAACATTGTTTATTTACCTGAGAATCAGAATATCAATGTTTATTTGCAAACTTCTACACCACCCTTATTTTTCAAAAAGAAATCTCCTTCAAATTGCCCTTTGAAGTCCACCACCAAAGGTCAATAAGTCAAATAGATAATTTCTTGTCAATTTTGATTAGTAGATTTGTATATCATGAGCATTCGTGCCGGGTGAATTCTGTGACTTTATCTCTATTTTACATATCTTTCTCTAGGATATTTTGTGCTGGGTGAATTCTGTTGTTTTATCTCTAGTTTACATATCCCTAGAATACTTTGTTATGGGTGATTTCTGTAGTTTTATCTCTTATCTTACATACTTTGCGCGGGAGAAATTCTGTGGTATTCTCTCTTATCTTACATACCTCTTGAAGGCTTTGTGCTGGGTGAATTCTGTGGTTTATATAAGCTGTAGCATCAGATGGTAATACATTAGTCTGAAAGAAAGAAAGAAAACACAATCTTAATAAAAAGATACACAAAAAATAGTGTTGTCCTAGTCTCATGTTTTTCCATAGAACTAGCAAAATCTTTCTTCAGTATTCATAACAACCAACAAAATTCAATTCATTTTGATAAGATGGCACTGTTTTTTGTTTTACTTTCATTGTCTTTCATCAAACACAAAAATCATTTATGCTTGAAACTCAGTGTTGTTTAATGTTATTAACAATGCTGATTTGTAAATTTGTTTTTGACAAATAAATACTTTAGATGCCACCAAATCAACATATTAAATGAGGATATATTGTATTGGGCCATCAATTATCAATACCTTCTACGTCCAGAGAACATTTTGGAAATAACCCCTCAGGAACAAAGATTGTGAAAGGAGCTATGTTTTTCACACAATCTGAACCAAGTGATAGAGCAATATTTAGAAGGACTTTCATTCACCATTCCTACAATGTTCAGTTAACTTAACCAAGTATATTCAAAGAAGATAAAGATGTGATTTTCCAAAGGATTACAATGAGAAATTTGTGCCATCAACTATGGTGTTTGCCACTGGATCTACATAAAAGGAGGATCATTTATAGAGGAACACCCAATCATCAATGTCCTTATAATAAGTTTGGAACATTTCACCCTGTTGTTGTGGAGGAGATATTTCAAAATTGGTTAATAAGAAATAAAGATTGCCTCTAACTGCCATGTTTATTAGTGGATTGGGCTGAATTGAGGACTTTATTTTTCCATAAAATGGAAAACCTTCAATACATTATTCCTTTTATCTTTGGTTCAAAAAGAGAGGTGACAATATCAATAAACTCATCATAGATACCAGGATTAAATTTTGTATTTACGCCAGATGGGCGTTTCGTCTACAAAAGACTCATCAGTGACGCTCGAATCCAAAAAAAGTTTAAAAGGCCAAATAAAGTACAAAGTTGAAGAGCATTGAGGACCAAAATTCCTAAAGGTTTGGCCAAATACAGCTAAGGTAATCTATTCCTGAGGTAGAAAAGCCTTAGTATTTCAAAAATTCAAAAGCTTTGTAAACAGTTAATTTATAAATATGACCATATCAATGATAATTCATGTCAGCACAGAAGTGCCTGACTACTGGGCTGGTGATACCCTTGGGGAATTAAAACTCCACCAACAGTGGCATCGACCCAGTGGTTGTAAATAAACTCATCATAGATACCAGGATTAAATTTTGTATTTACACCAGACAGGAGTTTCATCACAAAAGACTCATCAGTGACGCTCAAATCAAAAAAAGTTAAAAAGGTCAAATAAAGTACGAAGTTGAAGAGCAATGAGGACCTAAACTCATAAGTTGAAAACGAACAGACAATGCCATAATAAAAAAAAAATTAAAAGACAACCAACAGTATACAAAACACAACATAGAAAAAGACTAAGCAACACGAACTCCATCAGAAGCTGGGAGTGATGTCAGTTATACTAAAGGGTAAGCAGATCATGCTCCCTATGTGGCACATGTTTAACTAAGCTGGGTGGTTTAAAGAGAATATGATTTAAATCCAACCTGTCAAAACATATGACACCCAGAGGACTATGAACGCAAATAAATGCACTAGTTCACTCATGCTAAATGATGACAATAGCTCTCTCTTTCAGGCCAGATGAGCTCGAAAAAATTTGGGTTAATATCGAAATCAATGAAAATTCTCAAGTACAACTAAGTGGCTTTTCTATATTCTAATCATAATTGCTGAATTGTCTGTTTTTGATGCTAAGTTTTATTCTACCCTTAAAAGAAAAGTACAAATAAAAAACTAGAGGCTCTCAAGAGCCTGTGTCGCTCACCTGTATTTACTGATGCTTTGGTAAATCATGTAAAATAAGGTTAAAATCATAATTAATAGTATTAGATATTAGATATTATAATGATATCTAAGATAATAACAAAAAACTGCAAAATTTTTCTAAAATTACTAACTCAGGGGCAGCAACCCAACAACGTGTTGTCGGATTCATCTGAAAATTTCAGGGCAGATAAATCTAAATCTGATGAACATTTTTGCCACCTGTCAGATTTGCTCTAAATGCTTTAGTTTCAGAGATATAAACCAAAAACTGCATTTTACCCCTATGTTCTATTTTTATCCAAGTCGGCCATGATGGTTGGAAGGCGGGGTCATCAGACAAATTTTTTAAACTAGATACCCTAATAATGATTATGGCCAAATATGGTTAAATTTGTCTCAGTAGTTTCAGAGAAGAAGATTTTTGTAAAAGATTACAAAAATTTACGAAAAATTGTTAAAAATTGACTATTAAGGGCAATAACTCCTAAAGGGGTCGACTGACAATTTTGGTCATGATAACTTATTTGTAGATCTTACTTTGCTGAACATTATTGCTGTTTACAGTTTGTCTCTATCTATAATAATATTCAAGATAATAACCAAAAACTGCAAAATTTCCTTAAAATTACCAATTCAGGGGCAGCAACCTAACAACAGGTTGTCAGATTTGTCTGAAAATTTCAGGGCAGATAGATCTTGACCTGATAATCAGTTTTACCCTGTCAAATTTACTATAAATGCTTTGATTTCAGAGATATAAGCCAAAATCTACATTTTACCCCTATGTTCTATTTTTAGCCATGGCGGCCATCTTGGTTGGTTGGCTGGGTCATCGGACACATTTTTTAAACTAGATACCCTAATGATGATTGTGGCCAAGTTTGGTTAAATTTGGCCCAGTGGTTTCAGAGGAGAAGATTTTTGTAAAAAGCTAACGACAACAGACAACGACGACGACGATGACGGACGCCAAGTGATGAGAAAAGCTCACTTGGCCCTTCGGGCCAGGTGAGCTAAAAACTGTTGACACAGAGATATCTCTTGATTGTGTTGAAATTTAAATCAAAGTTAAACTGACCTAATCACAAACTTTAGAATGTAAAAATATACAAAAGTTTCAAAATCAATAGACCATGACTGAGGTGTTATAATAAAGCCAAATAATCTCAATCGATATTAGATGTGCTAATGTTGATACAACTGCACATCAAATATCATTGATTTTTTAAAAGTGGTTCCCCTTTAACTGACCTTATCACAAACTTTTGACATGTAAACTATGCAAAAGTTCCAAAGTCAATGAACCATGATTAAGGGGGTGGGGCTAAAATATCTCCATGGAAATGAGATGTGCAAATTCTAATACAACTGGATATAAAATATAAGTGGTTCATCTAAAACTGACCTCATTACAAACTTAAACATGCAAGCTATGCAAAAGTTTCAAAGTCAATAGACAAGGACAGAAATAATCTCCATTTAAGATATGCTTATGCTACTATAAAATAATCACAAACTTTAACAAATTGTTGACTCCACCACTGCCACAGGAAACAGAATGCCTCAGTCTTGCCCACTATATCATAGTGGCAAGACAAAAAATAGACCAAACAATGCCCATATCACATCTGGTTCTTTTAACTATTTTTAGACTATTATCTTTTTACCTTGACTCCTCCATTAAACATAGTTACTGATGTCACAGTTCTAATAATAGCATTTGTTGGTGGTTTCTGTGAAAAAACCCTGAAAATAACAAGAATCAAATATAACAAAATCAAGGACATCTGCATTTCAAATTATCAAGTACATACAAAGTTAATTTGATGTCTCCTTTCAGTCTCTTTATGAGGGGGCGGACAGGGAAAAGGGAGACAGGGAGAGAAGGGGTGGGAGAAAGGAGAGAGGGGGCGGGAGAAAGGAGAGAAGGGGCGGGAGAAAGGAGAAAAGGGGGTAGATAAGGGAGACAAAAATGTTTATAAAAAAATAATAAAAGTGAGTCGGAAATTGATTATTTTATTAAATTAGATAATACAAAGCTTGAAGAAAGTGCTAATAAATGTCATAGTAGGCTTAATGAAAACGACCTCATAAATACGCCAAGCGTTGTCACTTATTCAATCATAATGATCTCTTATATACGGAGAAAGACTAAAAACTAACAGAATATCAATGATTGTATTCTGAATCCGTGCATTTATAGAAACAAACATGTTACCATCCCTGTTTTTTAGATAAATTGCGTCAAAGTTGACCGATATGCAAAGAATTTGACAGAAAGGGATGACGCTTCTGCATATCACATGACGTTTTTTTTAGGAAAGGTACATATTCTTAATCAAGTATACTGTATGGTGTAAAGTTTGTAAACGTGGGATTTTTTTTAATGAGTTTGCTCATTTTAACATTTTGATAATATATAAAGGCACCTTACAAATTGTATTCAAAATTTCACTTAAAAAGACAAGTTCAACATTCTGTCAGTCGTGAAAAATTATACAATATAAAATCCTGAGAATATATATGCACTATCTATATAAGTAAAACACTCAGCGCAAATATAAAAGTTCAAGCTTGAAATTGTACATGTAGTCGTAGAAGGAGTAAGCAGGGCTATGTATTCTGCGTGCATTTATATATTTTCAAAATGCCAAATTAAGCAACCTGACATTTAAAACAAAAAACAAACAAAAATCCTGACAATATGCGCACTTTTGGTATATATACTAACACCTGGTACATAATTTAAAGTTGAATCTTAAAAACTTAGCAATAAGAAATAAACTGAATAAACCCTCAGTTATATATACCAAGTCAGGGACGGGCGGTCATATGGACACGGGTAAAACAGTATGCTTCCGGGACCAAAATATATATTAAGCGTATCTGGTGATGGTCTATTTTATAAGGCATTTTGTGACAAAACATAATATTGTCTTTGATAGAAAGATGTCTCATAGGCACTACATCTCCTTATTTCATAATGGTTTGAGTTTTCTTCTGAAATACGAGTTGTTTAAAGACTAACAAATTTGTACCTTACGAGATTGACATATGTTTGTATTATAATTAATATGACTAATGTTGTGAACGTGTGATGTTATCATTTAATAGATTTTATACTTACTATAGTAAATATACTTATTAACTTTCAAATTCAAGAGACCAAATTATTTTTTCTAAATCTACAAATTAGCAGTATAAAAATTCTCGTCCATCCTGCATTTGTCCTGTGTTATCTAGATGTCTTTGGTTTTTGTGTGTCGTTACTTGGCCAGTTGCAGTCTTATTGGATCTCCCATATCTCCATTTACAACACTTTTATTTAACATACATACTTGTATATGTACTTGTTATAAAATCTCTTTTAAAGATCGTAAATACCCTCTGACTTTTTCCGACGCTCATGGAGTCATGTCAGCAATGTGTCCATCCCCAAAAAGACACCTTTGTTAATCATTTATGAATCGTTTTGACTCACCGTTTTATGAAATGGTGCATTTTTCATCATCTGTACCTGTACAGCATGTCCAGCTCAAACAAAAAAAAATACAACCATTCCTGTACACCGAAGCGTAAATTAACTTGAACCTATATTAAAATCAATCAGGTCCAGGACCGATCCAGTATATCTTATTATAATCCTTCGTAATTAATTCCATTTTCTATGTGCATATATTTAGAGTCATTTGGAGCTGGTAAACTCAGCATATGATACATATTTCTTGTTGTGGAATACATTTTTCAGAATTTATTTTCATATCTTTTTAAGACATTCACATTTCCATGCTTGTAGTATAATTATTGTGTGTGTGTATTTTTAGAATAGAAATCCAGATCTGGTCTGTGTTTCTTTTACTAAACGAGGTGTTTCGGTTATGGTCATGTATACGTAGGCCTATCCTCATGAGGTATACTTCCGAAATCATATCGAATTTCTTCTAAACAGTCCAATAACAGATATTATTTTCTTCTTATTTAGCAGCATTTGGATTTCTGCTTTAAAAAAAAATCATCGGGAAACGGCGTGCATCAAACTCAGTTGCAAAGTCAATGCAAACAGACAGCTTAACAGTCAGTGAAAATAATATTGAGGTTCTTGAAGCAGAAGAAACAACACTTTTATCTTGTGAAAGGACAAGACAGGGACTAGTTATCAAAAAAGGCAACAAATTGATCGATTTTTATTAAAACGAGATTTCCAAACATTAGTTTTTTTCATATTTGAGGTCGGGAGACAAGAAAAAGGGGGTGGGAGAAAGGAGAAAAGGGGTGAGAAAGGGGGCGGGAGAAAGGGGCGGGAGAAAGGAGAAAGGTACCCCCCTAAGAGTTGATGCAATATTTAAAAGTACCTTATTTGGCATTACATTGAGAAAATTCAACAAAGGGCCTCATTTTGAAAAACTGATAATAAAACTATCTACTCCCAAAACGGTAAAGATATACATGTAATAAGATTTTTAAAATTCATTATATTCACAATTTCATTTTCAAAAAAATGAAGTAATGCGTGACAACATTTTTAAAGGTTACAATTTTTCGCCGTGTTTTTGCATGCACTGTTTTTTACTCAAGAAATAGTGTCATATCTCTTCTTTTTTCTTATGGTATACTGATGATGAGCTAACAAACCTTTTCTTCTTTTTATTTGCATGATTCTTGAACTTGCATTTTTATGTGAATAAAAATAGGATGTGACCATGAGATACAGATGCCCCTGCTTGAAAATATACGGCAAATTTTGCAATTTTTCAATTTACAAAGGGACATAACTCAAGAAAGGCAAAATTGATATAAATTGAGGAATAAGTGACTGTTGACTTTTACCATTTATAAATGTAGACATTTATCTGATTCCTTGTAAAAAATTATAGATGATACTTTTTATAATTCAATAACAAGAATGACAACACTGTTAGGATCTGTAACAATAAGTGTAATGTCTATATAAGCTACTTTCAATATGGTGGCACTGCAACTCAAATTGTATCAAAGTAAGCACACTTCATTGACATGTATTAAATTGATTTATATTTTAATAGTCTGATTAAACTCAAAGCAATGAAAATGTCTTATGAACAGTTCTTTGCTAAGTTATTGACAGATTTGTTGGTGTTATGACTTATAAAGGACTTCTGATGAAGTAAACAGTCCTTGCATGCATTGAAATGTCATTCAGGCCATAGTTATCAATCAATGCTGCAGTCTCTATGGCAGATAATCCCTCAGAGGATGGCCAAATCAGAAAATCACTCAGAATACCAAAAGGGATTATATTGCAGACTTTGCAAAAGGCATGTGAAATCCATATTGTTGATTTCAATCAGTCACACTTTTCTTCTTATGCAGTGCAAGAACCTTTTTTAATATGATAATTCGTCTATTTTGATCATTTGTTTCCCCACTCTGACATACAGCCAGAGGAATACAACTCAAAAATTGCAAATAAGTTCAAATCTTTGCTTGTTTACAATGCCGATTAATTGGGAGAGGAAAATGTAATAACAGGAAATACTGATAACTTATAAATCTACAAGCTTGTGATACCTGAACCTTACAAATACTTACCAAGAAACAATAGGTCCAAACAACCACAAGTTAGACATAACAATCCTGGCTGCTAGTGGCATCTACAAAATACTAAATATCATACAAAAAAAAATTTGAATTATTCATAGCTGGATCTACAATTATTTTTATAAAGAAATACACCTACTGTGGATTAATTTATTTTAGTGTGCTCCAATTTTTGTGGATTGAGGAAAAATTGTATTTTTGCTAATATTTGCAATTGGTTTGCTGGATTTGACAAAGTCTCAATACAAGCATATAGAAAATTTATACTTTGCTGATCATTTAAAATTCTGGTTTATCCACAACATCCACAAAAACTGGTACCTTACCATGATTGATACATGTAATTTAGAGAATTGATCTTTTATATATTTATAAATCTGTTGCTAGTAAAATGCTTAAAAGATATTTCTGAGGATCAAAATTATTAGGTTTATTAAGTGTTTTTCTGATAACTTATTTTAGTGGTGTTGCCAAATTCAAGGCTTTTCCAACTTTTATCGTCCCAGCCTTTATTATCTCATTACACAATAATATACCTCATGTGCCAAATGTTCTAACATTTCTTTCTCTGGTCCATACCCTAACATACTTGGCAGTGGATTATCTTCTATCCTACAATTATAATAGATATAAGTATAAGATAAAATGCTCAGCAGGGCGCAACTTGGTATGACCGCGGAGGTTGAACCCTGAACAGTTGGGGTAAGTATGGACACAACATTCAATCTTGATACAGCTCTGAATTTGGATTGGGATTTAATATTTGACACAGCATAGATTTCTGACACAGAATGATTGTGGTCTAAGAACTTGAAAATTTGAAATTGGACATTTACCTATTATGGTCCAATATCCCCAATCTAAATACATGGTTAGATTCAGCATATCAAAAATAAAATGCTTCGCTGGGGCGCAGCTTGATACGACCGCAGAGGTCGAACCCTGAACAGTTGGGGCAAGTATGGACACAACATTCAAGCTTGATACAGCTCTGAATTTGGATTGTTATTAAATATTTGACACAGCATAGGTTTCTGACACAGAAAGAATGTGGTCTAAGAACTTGAATTTTTTTAATTTACCTATTATGGTCCAATGTCCAAAATCAAAATACATGGTTAGATTCAGCATATCAAAGAACACCATATATTCAATTTTTGTTAAAATCAAACAAAGTTTAATTTTGGACCCCAACTTGGACAAACTTGAAAACTGGGCCCATAATCAAAAATCTAAACACATGTTTAGATTCAGCATATCAAAGAACCCCAAGAATTCAATTTTTGCTAAAATCAAACTAAGTTTAATTTTGGACCCTTTGGACCTTAATGTAGACCAATTTAAAAAACGGGACTTAAAATTAAAAATCTAAATACACGGTTAGATTTGGAATATCAAAGAACCCCAATAATTCAATTTTTGATGAAATCAAACAAAGTTTAATTTTGGACCCTTTTGACCTCAATATGAACCAATTTGATAGCGGGCCCACAAATAAAAATTCTAAATTCATGGTTAGATTCAGCATATCAAAGAACCCCATATATTCAATTTTTGTTGAAATCAAAAAAAGTTTAATTTTGGACCCCAACTTGGACCAACTTGAAAACTGGGCCCATAATCAAAAATCTAAATACATGTTTAGATTCAGCATATCAAAGAACCCCAAGAATTCAATTTTTGTTAAAATCAAACTAAGTTAAATTTTGGACCCTTTGGACCTCAATGAAGACCAATTTAAAAAACGGGACCCAAATTAAAAATCTAAAAACACGGTTAGATTTGGCATATCAAAGAACCCCAATAAATCAATTTTCGATGAAATCAAACAAAGTTTAATTTTGGACCCTTTTGACCTCAATATGAACCAATTTGATAGCGGGGCCTACAAATAAAAAATCTAAATACATGGTTAGATTCAGCATATCAAAGAACATCATATATTCAATTTTTGTTGAAATCATACAAAGTTTAATTTTGGACCCCAATTTGGACCAACTTGAAAACTGGGCCCATAATCAAAAATCTAAATACATTTTAGATTCAGCATATCAAAGAACCCCATATATTCAATTTTTGTTGAAATCAAACAAAGTTTAAATACTGGACCCTATCTTGGACCAACTTGAAAACTGGGCCCATAATCAAAAATCTAAACACATGTTTAGATTCAGCAAATCAAAGAACCCCAAGAATTCAATTTTTGTTAAAATCAAACTTAGTTTAATTTTGGACCCTTTGGACCTCAATGTAGACCAATTTAAAAAACAGGACCCAAAATTAAGAACCTAAATACACGGTTAGATTTGGAATATCAAAGAACCCCAATAATTCAATTTTAGATGAAATCAAACAAAGTTTAATTTTGGACCCTTTTGACCTCAATATGAACCAATTAGATAACCAGGTCCACAAATAAAAAATCTAAATACATGGTTAGATTCAGCATATCAAAGAACCCCATATATTCAATTTTTGTTGAAATCAAACAAAGTTTAATTTTGGACCCCAATTTGGACCAACTTGAAAACTGGGCCAAAAATCAAAAATCTAAATACATGTTTAGATTCAGCATATCAAAGAACCTCATATATTCAATTTTTGCTAAAATCAAACAAAGTTTAATTTTGGACCCTTTGGACATTAATGTAGACCAATTTGAAAACTGGACCCAAAATTAAAAATCTAAATACACTGTTAGATTCGGCATAACAAATAAATAAATGTGATCAAAGATTTTACAAATCTAATGCGCCATACTGTGCAATTAAAGATTACTTCTTGAAATTTTTCAATATTTGAAATTTGAAAAAAAAATAATATTTGAAGAATAATTCTTTTTAATTTCTGAAATCTGAAATGAGAAAAAATTGGCCCCCCACAATTTCTTTTTATCCCCCCCCCCCCTTTTTCCCCCAAAAAAATTCTTTCCCTCAAGATATGGTCATAATCTCAATTCAAATTTCCAATGGAGTTGGCAACCATAATTACCCATTTAAATTTACCATAGTGCTAACTTAATCTATTTTATAATAGAATTAATAAAAATATAGTGTCAAATCTTTCATATGGATTTTTTTGTAAAAAAAACAGATGAAAACATTTGCAGATATTTTTACTGGTCTTCCTTTATAAATATGCATTTCTTTAAACATAATTTAAAAGCAGAGTAAGGGAAGTAACCAAAACGTTGTATTTGGATTACCTCCCTTACACTGTTTTAGATTATCTTTATTGTTCATTAACCATTACTTTATACATAATTTAAAAGCAGTGTAAGGGAGATAATTTCAATGATGTATTTGATTTATCTCCCTTACACTGCTTTAAATTATGTTTTGTACTAAAGTATTTGTCCATTAACCAGGACAACCTTGTTTTTCCCCCTTTTTTGCCCCTAATTCCTAAACGGTTTGAGCCATAACCCCCCAAAGCAAATCCTAACCATCCCTTTGTGGTATGGAAACTTGTAGTATAATTTCAGAGAGATCCATACACCGTTCCACAGTTATTGTCTGGAAACTAGAAAATGCTCATTTTTGGCCCCTTTTTGGCCCCTAATTCCTTAACTGTTGGTACCATAACCCCCAAAATCAATCCCAACCTTCCTTTTGTGGTATTTAACCTTATGGTCAAATTTCAAAAAGATCCATTCACTTAAACTAAAGTTAGAGTGCGAAAACCAATATGTATTCGGACGACGACGCCGGACGACGACGACGACGACGACGACGACGATGACGACGACGTCAACGTCATACCAATATACGACCACAAAATTTTTTTGCGGTCGTATAAAAACCAAGAATTCAATTTATGATGAAATCAAACAAAGTTTGATTTTGAACCCTTTGGACCTCAATGTGGACCAATTTGATAATGGGGCCCAAAATTCAAAATCTAAGTACACGATTAATTTCAGCATATTAAAGACTCCCAAGAATTTCAGACTTTGAATTAGACCCTATTGGAATTGGTCAAGAAATAAGCAACTCATACAAAGTATAAGAAAAGTATCGTTTTTGGCCCCTTATTCCTAAACGGTTAGATCTATACACTTATACTCAAGTTATTGTCTGAAATCCAAATGTCTTCGGATGACGCAACATTGTCATTCCATTATACAGCCGCAAACTTTTGCGGTTGTGTAAAAATGTAACATAACTGAAATGTTCTGTCAAATATCCTGATGTCATTGTAAATCTAATTGTAGAAAACTTTTGGAAAAGTACATGTATTTCCATAATTTATTTTGGAAATCACATTTAATAATTATATTCTGTTATAGATGATGCATATTTTAAGGTGTTTCTTGTTGTATAACACCGAGGGGGGTCAGGATTGGGCAAATGAAAGACCGACTGTCATGTGGTCTTTCTTTGGGCAATTCGGACACCACTAGGAGTGTTATAGGACGTGAAAAACTTTAAAATATGTATTATCTGACTTATATTCAGGAATTGTATCCTATTTTGCCGATCACCATGATCACGTTGAAGTGAGATAACGTTTAAAATCACTGTCCAGTTACAGTATAAATGTTACAGAAATGAAATAAGAAGCAAATGAGTTGTTAAGATGTATGAAAAATACATGTCACTTTGTAAGTAATTTATCATATAAGCTATATAAAGGGGTGCTATGCTTTTTCTCTTGTTTCACAACATCTTTATCACTGAAGAGTAGATTATTCATAACAATTTTTTTAGAATATTTGTTTTCTCTCTTATGTCTAGTAAAACAATTTTTTCTTCAAAAATGAGAATCAGGATCAAATATTACAACCCCCTTTTAAAGAATGTGACTGTTCCCCTGCAAAAAATAGGAATATTTTGTTACTGTAAATTCAGAAATTATGGCGAGGTTTTTATTAATGCGAATATTGCGACTGGGTTAGTATCGCAATAATTAGAACTCGCATTCTGATATCTGATATATGCATCTGTATGCAGAATTTCCTTAAATCGCAATAATTAATCTCGCATTATTGTCCATTCTTCATAAATCGCAATAATAAATGCACGCAATAATTTCTGAATTTACAGTAATTTAAACGAGTAAATAGTATTGATTTTAGCCTAATAATCGGAGGAAAAGGGATTGTTTCTGCTTAAACTTTGTTGATTGTTTGACTTTGTAATAGTTGGATGTTGGTGCCTCAAGAAGTCTAGATCTGTTGTACTCTTGCTGTATTTTTGAAAACTCCTATATGTATTATGGGAAAATGTACTCATATCAATGATTAGGGATATTTCTCTTTTATCTGATGATAATATGTATATATATCTATAGTTAATACCATATCAAACCATCTTACTTGGAAACAGCTTTTGCCAAAATTCCAATGGCTGTTTGCTTTAGTGGCATAGAAGAATGGCCCGCTTCACCCTTCACATATAACTTCAAAGTCAAAAAACCTTTCTCTCCAATACCAATTCTGTAAATAGATATAATGTACCTAGACTATAGGTTTTTTTAATCCCACAAATGGTAAATTTAAATAGTCTAAATGCTTCTATTACATTCACTATCTTATGGTAAATCAAAATAGACAAGATGCTCCGATAATATTTGCTATTTTGGCAGACGATTTTGGCCATGTTGTCTAATTTGAAGATATTGTCTTGCTAATCATTTTTGCTATTTAAAGTGTATATCTATCTGTTATAGTTTTCAAGAAAATGGGCAAAAACACTGAAAATTGGTAAAAATCGTCTTGTAAGAGCAATAACTCCAATAAAGAGTCTTTTGAAGATTTCAGCCATTAGACTTATTTGTAGGGTTGCCTTGCTGATCAGTTTGGTTTTTTAAAGTTTCTATCTTTCTATCATAGTTTTTTAAGATATTAGACAAAATGCTAAAAAATATTAAAAATCTTCATTAAGGGTAAAATCTGATACAAGGAGTTATCTAATGATTGACTTTATTTGTAGATCCTAACATGCTGATCATTTGGCCATTTAAAGTTTCTCTTGATCTTGTTTTCAAGATAATAGGCAAAAATGAAAAAAAAAAAGCTAAAATTCGTCATTTAAGGGCTTTAACTCCTATATGAAGTTGTCTGACAATTATGATGTAAATGTACAGTAGGTAGAAGTCAACAATCTGATCATTTCTGCCACTGTCAGATTTTCTCTGTTTATAGCCGTTTTCAAGATAATAGAGAAAACTTGCACTTTACCCCTATGTTCTATTTTTAGCAATGTTGTTTGGCAGGCGGTGTCATCAGACATATTTTTTAAACTAGATACACCAATGATGATTTGGCCAAGTTAGGTAAAATTTGACCCTGTAGTTTGTAATAACTTCAGATTGGGAAGATAAAAATATTCTTGATCTCGTCAAATTGACAATGTCTGAAACCTTTGATTGTTTCATTTTCTCTGATTTTTCAGAAGATAATGTTGAGTGTTTCAATTTGAGATGATTAAGCGTGTTACTCTTTCCACCCAGTTTTCATTTATTCCATTCATGTTGTTTTGCATTTCACAATTTTTTATTTGATTTAAGTATTACAAAGCCATGGACAATGGCGTTGACATACCGGTATTTAGATGTATGTGTATGCAAAATTAAACCAAAAATGAAATAATGTAGTAAATCGAAAAAATTTTAGCCGGCCTACAACTGTTCAAAATACATGTATGCTAATTATGTTTACTTAAGATCTAGCCCCTAGCTGATTGACAAGTTGTTTTTAATCAATGTTATGTGTTCAAACATAACAATAGCAATCAATATACTGGACCATTGATCTGTTAAATTAATTACCACGATGATCATTTTAAAATTGAACAAAATTCATTAATGATTTCAATACACATTTATATCAAATCTATTAAAATTGAAAAAAGGTCCGGTTAACTAGTAAGCATTTCTTGTATTCGATGTTCAGTCCTTCTGACAGTTAATCGGTTAATTGTTGACAACACTATTTTATAGGGAATACTGTTTAGCCAATTATGTTGGTGGCAGTTCTACAAAATTTGCCAAATAAAAACTATGAATAATCTACACAGAACCATGCAGTGTATGCATTTTTAGTACTGTTTCCGATAATTATGGCACTACACATGTAAACTAATGAAAAACAATACAGTTGGAAGTTTTAATGATTAAACCTCTGATAATTAAGCCTATTATATTAAAGGGGCATTAGCTACGATTTAGATAAATATAAGATTCTTTTAGTTTCAAGTATTCAGTGGTCATCTCAATGGTTAATTAGATGACGTCTAGACTAAAATATACAAGAAATGCTGATACATATTATCGAGTCCATGCATTTTTAATTATTTCTTTGAGAATTTTTGTAATTTCGATATAAACATTTTAGTATGTTATAAATCAAATGTGAGAATTTGAGTCAAATCGGTGAACATGAATTTGACAGCTAATTATCAGTTGTCAGAATATGATTTCATTGTCCAAGTCTAGTGTTTCTATCCTTTCGATACCACTATGTTTTAGTACAAGATGCTCAGTAGTCAAAAACTTTTATGCTATGTATTTATTTGCTCTGTGAAACAGTCGGAACTGTAAATGAAATATTACAATAAACATAACCAAAACTTACAATGCTACAGTCTTTTTTATTCCTGGAATAAAACCATTTAAAACTGCCAGTCCTTCATCTAATAAAAATTCTACCTGCTTAAGTCCTCTGTATTGTAGTTCTTGACTGATTGCTCGAGCTCCATCAACACCAGTCACCTATCAAATATTATCATTAATCAATCTCAGATTCTTATCACAATATTACACCCATTTGTATGTAAGTTTCAGTATTGATAATGCTAGGCAAAGTTAAGTTGAATAAATCTTTTATAAAATATTTTGAAGTTTGTCTATGATGTAATTTGTGTACAGGAAATTATTTTAGTGAAGATTGTCAATTTTCTGCATAGTATTGCAATATTGCAATAGATAAGGTTCCTGTCAAGCACTTAAATATTGTTTAACATTATTATTTTTTTTCGGAAAATCGAAGAATCGATTAATCAGATTGTGTTTGTGTGATTTCCACAATCAAAACAATAACTAACCAAATACAAACGTATAGACTTGATGAATTATTAGTCTAAAAATGATAGTTTTAATATTATATGTTCAGTAACACAACTTTTAATAAGGTCAGGTCAAAGACACGGATCCAGGATTTAAGGTTAGAGGACATGTTCATGCTTTTTTTTTGCATGTTTTATGTCATAACTGATGGTTTTATTCTTTTTTATGGTGGCACCCACCTGAATCTTCTACTGGTCAAATCTGACATCTGATGTGAGAAGCTGTGAAATTGGATTTATCAAAAGTGGATTTATCAAGAGCACTAAGCATGGTGATACTGCTGCCAAAGTATTTAATTAAAATGAATTATTGGGCCTTAGCCGCCTTACTCTCTTTTCAGGGTAGCTTAAATTCTGGTAATGACATAGATAATTGTGCCTTACTCTGCATCAGAGATAACCTGGAAAAGGTATTATCACTTATGCCTAACTCAGCATTCTAAATCCTCACCCTGGTGAAAATTTCATTACTTATGCCTATCTCAGCATCCTTTATCCCCACCCTGGTGAAAGTACTATCATGTATGCCTACCTCAGCATCATGGAACCCAATTTGTTTTAATATCAGTCATTGTTTATTGATAATTTAACAACTGGCAGAGTATATGGTTCTACTTAACTGATCACGACTTACTTCTTCATCATGTCCAAATGCAATGTAAAATGATCTGTTTGGTTTGAATCCTTTGGATAGTAAGTATTCTAAAGCTTCTAATATACCCTTAAATATAAAAAAAATAAGTATTATACTCCTATAATCTCATCATACCTCAATCATTGTGTCATTTGAGCTAGGGTGATATATATAACACCTTGCAAGTACCTTCTAAAGATCATTTCTACATGTTTTGATATCCTTTCACTTCATCTGATCCAGAAAATGAAACTATAATCTAATTGCGACTTGGCTTCAATGTAAACATTGACCTCCACTGGAAGCCAATTATAATTTCAGATCAGCAGCAAAGTTACAACACTTAACCTTTACCTCATAACATAACAAACACATCTGCGGTTTTATTCATTTTAGTATCAACATGATCAACGGGATAGATGTGATCAACATAGCTTTAAAAATTTTAATTATTCAGTGAGATGATGTCATCTATATAGTGGAACTCAAAGTTAAAGGATTATGCTAACTTCTTTTCATTTTCCTGAGAAGTTCATGTATAAAGTCTACCCCATATGAATAACAGAACAAGAAGAGGAGACCAATTGATTTCCTAAGGAATGCTTACTGTCTAAATAAAAACATGTCATCCAAATGAAAAATTACTTTGGAATGTCTACTCCAAAACTTTGTGGACATAAATGACCATACAAAGAGCAACAGTACTATCACATCTTCAATGCAGGGCCCTATAAAAATCACTGATAAAGCCTGAAACTGCATGAAATATTTGTATCAGTACAAATTTTGAAAGAAAAAATGTACTATTTCTTTAATTTTAGAGACAAATAAAAAGAAGTTTTGATTATTGAATCAATAAGACAGTTCAACATACATGTATCTTCTTCTATAAAAATAAACAGGTGTCTATAAAATATATCAACCTCTAAATCACTCCAAGTCTAAATAAGTTGTAAATAAACAACAAGGGACTATCAAAGATGAATACCAAATCCCTAAAAGACATACAAATATAACTGCAGACAACCAACTTGAGGTAAGCTCATGGATTTGTAGCAGCATTAAACAAGATATTCTGATCACTTGTAAACATATTTCAGTTATGAAAGAATTACAGTATTTGTAATATGAGACATTACTGCAAGAATCTCTGAAATTTACCTTTAATCATGCTTACCATAATTCCTTGCTTAAAATCAATAGCTCCTCTTGCATATATAAATTCATCCTTAATTTGTGCTTCAAAGGGAGGTAATTCCCATTCTTCAGCAATAGCTGGCACAACATCTAAATGTGCTGTTAATAAGTATGGAGTTAAACTTGTGTTTGATCCAGATATTGTATACAGTCTGCTGTAGTTTGCTATAATGTCTAACTTCACTAATGGAGATGAATGAACAACTGGAAAACCTGAAAAAAATAATGAAGTCATATAAATATCATTTTTGTTAATTTTAAGAAAAAATTTTCATTTCAAATCTGACAAAAATTAATTGTCTATATGAGACTATAATCACTATCGCACACACAAACTCTAGGTCATGAAAGCAATCCCAAGTTCGAGGTCAGTAGCTTTTCATATTTTTTTTTACTTTTTACATTTTGTTCAATATATTCAGGAAATCCTGAAATTCTGAGAAAAAAAAAGACAAGGTTATTGGCCTGTATATTTAGCCCTGAATAATAAGTCTAACAAACATAATGTTAGAATATATCTTTTTTATCAACCCATGTGCTTTATGTTCCAAGTCCTGAAATTCAATAACAGTTGACCTGTTTCATTGAATTTTGGTGGAAAATCAAAATATGCGCTATTTGTATGATTTGTGACATCCTGAAAAGACCGCATCTGAAAATATGAAAAATTTTCAACAAAAAAAGCTATTTCCTATCAAGTCATTGTTTAAGCTGATTCATTGTGACATTGGGTCTATAAATCTTAATTTTAAATTCTAGCTGGAAATAGGGGTTATATTAGGGCCTTATTGAACCTACTGGATCCTTTAGATACCAGTACAATCGATTTAAACACAATGATCCTTGAAAAGCTTATTTTTACAGGTTAAATCAATTTTACACTGTAGTAAGATTGTTTTTATCAGTACTTACATTGATTAATTATCAGTACTTACATTGATTAAATGTTTTAAATTAAAACATAACTTGTTTATATGTTTGACTTTTTCTTTTTAAGCCGTGACATTGTCAGTTAAACTTATACTTAAAGTTTGAATGTCCTTTTGACTCTCTTTTAAAATGTATTGCTATGCAGTTGTGAAAACTTATGGTCCTATATATTGTACAGTTGAAACAATCATATGTACTTAAATTTTGCATTGCAGTTTGGGTGAGCATGATTTATTTATTAGTTGTAATTGTCTTTCAACTAGCTTTCTTAGATTGTTTCTTTGGTTATTTAGTCTTTTGTTTTTTTGTGCTTCCTGCTTATCTGTTGAGTCAAGCCATTTCAAACTGATTTTTACAGTCTGTTCTAATATTGTGCTGTTACACCACTGTCCCAGGTTGGAAGAGTGTTCACCTTTCACAGACATCTTAAACCCCAGACACATTCTATAGTGCATGTCCCAACCAAAGAGTCTGTCTTTGATTGCGGTCTGTCAATTTTGTTTGTGTTTCTTGTTTTGTCATAAATCCGGCTGTTTGTTTTTTCTTGTTTGATTTGTTTCACATTTTGTCAATTCAGGCTTATATACCAGAATATACATTATGGGTATTTGTATCGTTGGCAATCATACCACAATTCCTTTTTTTTTAATATAAAGAATGTCAAGCACATGAAGTAATGGCAATGTTAGCTCACACAGGCTAATAGTCTACTAGCCAATTCCTGAAATTGACCCTGTAATTAGAGATCTATTTTTAGTTGTCTCCCTTGGGAGGGACTTAAATTTTCATTGACAATGAAGAGCTAGCAGAAATAGCAAATTTATCTGTGTTTAATGTGTGTAACCTTAACTTGTTTAAGTTTTAAAATGATTTTTAATTAATCTTATGTTTTGTTAAACTAAAAACTTTTGATACCAGTAGTTATCAAGTTTTCACTAAATCTGGTTAAAATGCCTATATCATTATCAACTTATCATCCTTTTCATGGGCAGCAGCCCATTTATTCCACTATAGAACCAGTCTACAATAGATGTATTAACAATAGTATGCAAATTTGTCCATCGCTTAAAATCACACAAATTTGACATCACAACTGAAAAAATAAGACGTCATAATTAAAAAGTGATTGTTGCTGGACAAGTAACTTGGAGACAGATCTAAGGTCATTCTGAGACGACAACATTCAGCTAAATACCAAAAGTGTAAATATGTTCACTGACAATTGGAAACAATTTGTGTTAAAAGTGTGTATTAACAGAATCAAACAGGTATAAATTGGCAAATGGACTATTAGCATGATTAGGCCAGGTGATTTAATGTTATCCAAAAATTTAAACTATCAAAAAAGTATGAAGAAGATTTGGCTTCAACAAGGATTTGTATAGTTACTATACCTACCCTTGGTTTCAACCTATTTACTTAATGCCAATTAAACTTGAATCAATAATCCTTCTAATGTTTAGTAGTATCCCTGACTGTTAATTTGGATATGACCATAGTTGCCAACCACTAGCGATGATCATGAGAAAACTTTAAACAATAAATTTTTTAATTTATTTTTAAAGATGTAATGAATGATAAAATCCAACCCCAAAAATAATTATAAATAGAAAGATCATTTATACATTTTTAGAATTATTTATATATATATATTATATCAAATATTATTGGATGCCGAATTGACTTTAAATAGGTGCTGATTTGACTAGATGCCGATTTCACCAGGTGCCGATTTGACTTTTTCTATGGGTGCCGATTTGACCAGGTGCTGGTTTGACTTGTACCCATTCGAACCATCAATCTCTGGATCTAAAGGCAGTGCCATTACTGAATGAGCCAAAGACGATCTTTCCTGACTCAACCAGTTAGACTACCGTAATATCTCCAGGTATACAACATCCCTTCAGAAATTCGGAGTCAAGAGCGTTTTTTCTGATTTGAACCCCAACCCAGCAACCTTACATGAAAACCTCTTTTAACTCCAGACCCTTGAAGAGACCAAAGAAGTTGAAGATGACTACTCAACTGCTAATTACGGGTGCAGGTCGTTTCGTAACCTGGTCGTTTCGTACCTAGTCGATTCGTAGCTAACTAGGTTGTTTTGTAACTGAGACGTTTCGTAACCTTATAACAATATACATGTATCATGATATGAGTTGTTTGTTATGGAAGAAATGTTGAATAAATATTTTGATTAAAAATATAAAAAGACTTATTGATATATATAACATTAACAAAGGACAACATAATGATGAATCGCAAAGAAAGAAAAAAAAATGAATAAGTTAATGTTCTAAAGGAAGACGATTTACAAAAAAAAAAAAAAAACTTGAACTGTGCCAACGCCGGTCCCAAGCCGGGTGAAAAAGGAGGACGGTTATGCAATTGAATGTCAAAGTGAAAAAAATGTAGATAATAATTATTTTTTTCAGGTCGTGTGCCATTTTTGATCCTCTACTTAATCACTTGACACCTTATTACTTATAATCACTTGTCAATAGCTGTCATAAAACCATTAAGGTTCAACACCAGGCATAATCACCAATTAGCCAAGAATTAAATAATTTAAAACAGTTATTATTTGATGCATACTTTGATCATTTTTCAATAAAGTATATATCAAGTTTGCAGAACTGTGTCTGTGATAAATAAATTACTTTTAGTTTATTTAAATTATTTCCTGTATTATATGAAAAAAACACAAGAAATTTATTCTGGCTTCAATATATAGACATTTCTAAGAGATCTACACTTCCAGAGACAAAACTAGTGAATTAATTTATATATATTGTCTTTAACTGTTTAATTAAGACAAAACTAATAGAGACACACTTTAAAACCATATACATTTGTATAATTACACCAGGTATGAAACGTCTCAGTTACAAATCAACCTAGTTACGAAACGACTAGCATTCCTATAATTATACGAAAGGATGATGCATTGATTACAACTTCATAATTCTGTAGCACACTATAACCTAATAGTAATCAGTAATACATGTAATAGATTCATTCTTACTTTTCTGTAAGTGTGAGCCTAGGAGAAGAAGTTGGTCTCTGTTATATTCTCCTCGTTTAAAGGATATTGTGTCAATCTGTAATGCTTTTTGAAACCTTTTCAGTATCTGGTCAGTTAGCTTGATAAAATCGGAATCAGCTGTTTTACATGCTATGACAACATCTTTTCTGGGGACCAAAGTGAGAGTTCTAACTACAACTATCACTAAAAGGGACGAACAAATTGCTACCAGTGTAATGCATAACTGTTTGCACGACATTCTGTTCACGTTTCGGCAAAACTAACAAATTTAATGTACACAATGTAGAGTATCGAAATCTGAAGAGTTTGCCGATTGGTTCCCCTTCTGTCACATGAACGAAAAGGGCCGAAATATCGCAGCCTCAATATTGTGTTGAAATACAGATTGTTCTCCCATGTGGTATCAATTAAGGAATAATTAAAGTACACCAAAATTAAGTCACATACACAACGTCTTCTAACGTACTTTATTTACAATGAATATATATTTTTATCTTTTTTGTAAGTTATCATATTGTCTATTTCGAAGAGTTGACACAATTCAATTAATTACTTTACTTTCAAAAGAATACATTTCATTCGTTGCGTCATTTTTATTATTATTAAAGATCGTTGCTCTACGTTGTTACTTATGAAATCTATTTTAGTTACATTTTAAATGATTCTTTGAGGTCGAAATCGTGGATGACTTCAGGATATTAGAAATAGCTCCAATAAGATTGTTCATTCACAAAACCTTTTTTCAATATAACTACAATTTCATGAAACAAAATTTACAGAACAGAAGACAACCAGAGTAAAAGATTATTTTTTTTTAATTGCAGAAAAATGTCACTCATAATATTAAGTTTTTAAGAGCTTTTCTAAATGTACTCATTAGATTAAGCTAAAAATAATGTTAGCTATCTTTTTTTTGCTGATTTTGTTTGTTTTTTCTGCAAATTGATAGTTCTAGCCGCTCTGATCATGAGTATGCAATATTTTCGTGGAAATGATTTCACACTTTATTCTATTTTTCTATTTAGTAATACATTAGGTGTTTGATACCTGAGTTTCGTACATACCGTACTCTTGTGTTTCTGAGAGACAATTTGTAAAACGATATTTAAGACAATTTGTTAAACGATATTGAAGTTTTCACATCTATGGTATAATCTAGTTAAGTGGTTCAAGTGTGAATATCGTTCACTCTATAGTAGTTTGCAAATGAGCTATATATGGTCTCTTTCCGCGTTCGACAGTTAATACAATGGAGGCTCATGTTTCTACAGTGTAGAAATGGAAACTTACAATAATTCTGGGGGCTGCAAATGCGTGCAGCAATGGCATATTTTTTTCCGATTGTGGCATTTTGCTTAGCATGGATTCCGTGACACGTGAAGCACGTAAAGCAGGAGACGCTTACCCTTTCGACGCATCCGGTCTCGCTCCCTTTCGAGTTCGTGAAATTCCGTCAATTTGTATGGTTTTCACGACCTTGATTTGTATATTCTTAATGGACTTATGAGATTTGAACATTGGTAAACTACTGTTGTATCTAATATAACAAACTATATTCGTTTGGTTTTATTTAAACTTAACACACCTACCAGGTTTAAGGTTCTACGCTTCTGTGGTAAACTTTTGAAATAACAAAAAAGTTTAATTACCTAAGGGTTGATACCAAGAAGCAATACTTAAAAAACGACAAGTCGAAGAAAGACAAATAATTGAGTCCACAAAATGCTACGCAGAAAGTTAAAGGTTTAGCAACATGAACTCCCACCTAAAGCCGGGTTGAACTCTGGGCCCCATACCGTGATTTTAGCCTAACGTACACGTTCTTGTATAGACTCGGATGACTAGAATATTTAAACTTTATCATTGTTCAAGATCGTATGTTGGCATCTCAGGGTAGTTTTATTTTTATTGTAGGTTGTTTTTCTATTATGTGTCGCATGGCCTCGAATAACATTACGTAGACCGGTCTCTCTACCTAAAATAAAAAGAGCTGTGAGATATACGTCAATGAGACAGCAATCAGCCGAGAAAACAACAACAGATATATATTGAGGTCAGTAAACGTTCTTCTACAATAGACGTGCAGGTGTCATTACAGTATGTCAATCACTGAATCGTCGGGCTGAGTATGATAGAAAAGTTGTAACAGAGACTATCAAAGATCTTCCATCAAACATACTTCTATATAAACGACAAAAACGCCAAGAAACATAAAAAGATAACCACCAACTATGCCATCAATCCCGAGCATGCAAAAAAACACACAGCGGGGCAAAGGCGCACGCTATGTACAATAAAACAATCTTTTTAGACCAGATCCCCATCCTAATCTCGATCAGCAGAACAACAAAGGGTACATAAAAGTACGTAAAATATAAATCAATACAGGAAAGCACTTATTTTTACTATAACGGTATAATATACAATAAAACACAAGAATTAGTAACATAATAATAAACAACAATACCGTATAAAAGAAAGATCGTTGTTACTAAAAACAAGCACAAAGCGTACCACGCCTTTCTACACACTCTTATATTAGTGACTCTACTTCAGAACATATTTGATATGATAATGCTACCGGTTTAATAGTATTGAAAGACAGGATCCTGTGCAATGCCACACCCCTTTCCTCTAGTGAAAATCAAACAAAGTTGCCAAGGAACCCTAATGAGGAAAAGAGAAAAAATAAAATGTTAACACAGAGATATGTCTCGCCTTTTTGTACTTTTGATAAGGCAAATGTTGAAATTAAAATAGCAATACTTTAACATGTATGTTATGCAAATATTCAAAGTCAATGAACCATGACTGAAGATACATGGCAAAACAATCTCCATGGAAATGAGATGTGCCAATGCTAATAAAACTACATACCAAATACCATAGACTAATCATAAGTCGTTCCCTTTCAACAAACCTAAACACAAACATTGACTTGTAAACTATGTAAAAATTTCAAAGTCAATGAACTCTGATGAGGGGAGGGGGCTATATAATCTCCATGGAAACGAGACTTGCAGATGCCAATAAATTTGCATACCAAATATCATTGACTTAACATTAGCGGTTCATCTTAAACTGATCTAATCACAAACTAATACATGTAAACTAAGCAAAAGTTTCAAAGTCAATAGACCATGACTTCGGAGCCAAATAATCTCCATGGAAATGAGATATGCCAATGCTTATACAACTGCATACCAAATATCATTGACTTACCACTAGTGGTTCCCCATAAACTGACCTAATCACAAACTAATACACGTAAACTAAGCAAAAGTTTCAAAGTCAATAGACCATGACTGAAGGGGCAGGGCCAAATAATCTCCATAGAAATGAGATGTGCCAGTGCTAATGCAATTGCATACCAAATATCATTGACCAACCACTAGTGGTTCACCTTAAACTAGACCTAATCACAAACTAATACATTGTTGACGCCGCCGCCGACGCCGGAAACAGCATACCTATATCTCGCTTTTTGACTCCGTCAAGGCGAGACAAAAACAACCAAGCCTAGTCTCAAACTATGAACTAGAAAATTGATACAAGCTAGACTCTTACTAAACAGCACCACAATAATCTACTTTAACAAGACCATTATGTCACGCACCTGACAATTCCTCAACTCACAAGCTCAACAAGCAGCATTAACGTAAAAATTCGGATGCGTGTGAAATACTTCTTTCCATAAACATTTCTGCAGTTAGAACCACATCACAAAATTGAGCAAAACTAAACTAGATATTTATGTCATTAAATTATTTTATTATTCTTATTACTCATTGTATCCTATTTATTCTAATTTCACCTTAAGTCCTTTGTTAATTTATGTTGATTATTGTCATTTGCTTAGTTTCTTCTGTTACCTATTCTAACATCGGACTCGCAGGTTTTTTCAAAAGTGATGATTTTCTAAATATTGTTTAACATTTCACAGTGGTATCATACTTTAACTTTGTTTAAACCTGTTTATTTACTTTTGACCTTAATTATTTATCCCTTATAATTTTTATTAACTATGTATTTGCATTCAGGTATCACAGATCAAATTTATTCGTTCATTGTGTGTTAATTTATGTTTATTGATTGAGTTAAGCCTTCCAGTTGATATTTTAAAGTGTGTCTTTCTATGTTGTGATGTTATACTATTGTTTCAAAAAAGGGAGAAGGTTTGGTACCATTTAAACGTTTAATCCCGCTGCAAATGTTTGCACCTGTCCTAAGTCAGGAATCTGATGTACAGTAGTTGTCGTCTGTTTTTGTAGTTCATACGTGTTTCTCGTTTCTCGTTTTTATATAGATTAAACCGTTGGTTTTCCCGTTTGAATGGTTTTACACTAGTAATTTTTTGGGGCCCTTTATAGCTTGCTGTTCGGTGTGAGCAAATGCTCCGTGTTGAAGGCCGTACCTTGATCTATAATGGTTTACTTTTATAAATTGTTACTTGGATGGAGAGTTGTCTCATTGACAATCATACCGCATCTTCCTATATCTATGTACCAAAGAAAAAGGGCATTAAGGCTCGTCTAACCCAAAAAAAACTAATCCAGTAGTTTTGAGAACTAATTCATATTTGCTCACAAATTGGCCCGAAACGAATAAAATCAAGAAATATAAATCAATTTGACAAGATTTGACAAAGTTATGACGTAGTAATATGCGTATATTTCAATAAAAATGGAGAAAAAGGCCAATTTAATGCAGTTTTCAATCCACAGGTCGCTCCAAAATAACAAAAACAAATGTTTTAGAGAAGCTTTCTCGGTATAGCCATTAACATTATTCCACCTATTTTGGTGCGCCCATACTTTTTCAATCCAAAATAAACTATAGATTGATACAAAACAAGCAAAACAAGCAAAATTTCGTCAAGGCTTATTGCTATGGTAACTCATCAAATGGGAAGTTTGTTTATCTAGCCTGAACACCTATTACCTAAGTCATGTTATATTTTGCTCTAAGTTTGGATTGGGTTGGGACCTTACTGTTTTACTCTTTCTAGCTCAATATACAAAAGAGGTAGCAACGGCTCACAAACTAATTTTGCATGTCAACGTTTTGTGGTTCTTTAGACAATTTTTTAAAGTAATAGTAATAGTATAGTAATCATTTTTTTTTATACGACCAGATGTAGAGACAATTTTGTTTGAAATAGATTACCGACAACAAACGCTAAGTTACGATAAAACTCACAAGAGTCCATCCCGTTTGTTTTGTTGATGCAGTTAAGCATATTCCTGTGTTTGAGGTACACACCCCTTGCTATAACATGTTATAAGGGTTTTGTTTATGAGGCATCATTGTCTCCTATATAGTAAAC